CTGGCAAGTACCAATGTTACTTTTTCCAAGTAATGTGCACTTTCTATGATTAATTAGACACCATTGACAAACGGTGAACGAAAACATCGTGAGGAAACCTGGACTTACAATATCTAATTATAAGTTTGAAATCGCCAATCCGCCTTGAGCAAGCGTGGTGATTAATGCTCTAACTTTCTTTGTGAGAAGAGGCCTTTGCTTAGCAGTGGGCACATTTAGGCTGATGATGTGATGCGAGATGATCTGTCAGCTCGTTGGCAGCCCTAAGCAATTAAAAAGGTATGTTTGGAAAACATAAGAATCACATCCATTGTTGGCGTTCATAATAACAGATACAATGGTTACAGTACTGAGTCTAGACTGTGAGTAGGTAAGTGCAAAAAGAGACTCTCAGAGACTTATAACAAGATATTTATTACAAAAATCTAACGGAAAATACACTTAATTAAGTTTCATTAAAATCGGTTAAGTAATTACCAAGATTTTGGACTTTACAGTTTAAAGTTTGTATGGAAATCCCCTTGAAAACGTTCTTAAAGAGTGACCTAAAATGGTACGGTCTGCGCAAGTATTTGGGATGCAGATGCATTGTCGGCCTTTTGGGGATAAGGCTTGTGATATTTAAGAATTGGGAAGGGATAGGGAAGGGGAAGGGTTTGGGCCTTCGGTAACCTTACTCACATGGTGAACCACAACGCTGTAGTTGTTTCACGCCGGTGTTCTGTGAGGCTATCGTTATATATTGGTCAAATATGTTATTAACCCGTGAACGCGGATCTACGCAGACACAATGTATTGTCTATTGTGTCTCAAACATTGGCAGACAAGAGGTTAATTTCATTATCGTTAAAAAAGATCAATTCCTCATCATTAAATTTTATATCCCTTATCGTCTCGAACATGGCGCTCCCATTATGCATACTGACAATCCAAAACAATGCTTCTATATAAACTCTATGTTTAATTGTTTAATTAAACATGGAGTTTATCAATTTATTATTAAACATTTTTTTTTTTGCAAAATGATGTGTTAGGTGTCTATATAAAAAATTGATAACGAATACTGCTGTATGTGTAATCTGTGGATTCTTAACTTCTAAATCGTAAATCGCATACCAAAAAATAAAAAAAATTTGGCTGTACTTCCATATGATTGGCGAACCTACTGGTATTCATTTATAATGTACAGTTAACGTATTAAAAGTTTTGAAATCCGAATTCTCAAAAAACAAGATCTTTTTTTATATTCAAAAAAATCAAACTAATGGAGACGAATGAATCACGAAGAAAATCGTTTACAATAAATACTTAGAAGGACGATTGAATAACGTATATAAATAAACACATTCAAATAATAAATCAAACATGTTTACTCACACACAACGTGCCCATGAACTTGCGAGGTTAGCCACCTTACCGGCTGGTCAGACCCCATGCATGACAAAAATAAAATAACTAAAGTCAATTTTCCCGGCGCGGGGTTTCATACAAACTTTTTACATTGCAGCCTCTATTTTTTTTTATGTAATTGGTCGGCAAACGAGCAGACGGATTACCTGATGGTAAGCAATCAGCGCCGCCCACGGACACCACCAAAGGAGTTACGAGTGCGTTGCCGACCTCTTAGGAATTAGGGTTTTGGTGATTAAGGGATTGGGGGAAGGGAAGGATTGGGCCTCCGGTAACCTCACTCACACGGCGAAACACAACGCTGTGGTTATTTCACGCCGGTTTTCTGTGAGGCCGTGGTATCACTCCGGTCGAGCCGACCTATTCGTGCCGAAGCATGGCTCTCCCACACTTATCTTCTCTATTTTAATTATTGGCGGAGACCTTTAAATGGCTCCTAATTTTGTGAAGCGAAATACTATGGAGTACAGACTATTGATCTTAGTAATATTACCCTGGTGGCCATCTTTAGCAACTTTAACGAACACCAGAACCTCTTGCCGCGTCCTCGCCTTAGAGCAGGAGAAGGAATATGATAAGGTGGTTTTTAGTCAGTTGGAGTTTAATACCCCCTCGCCACATCAAGGGTAAGAAAAAGAAAGGTCATTAGGTAATTTTCTCTCCGCACAAAAACCCTCCTATATACCTGCTCGTGAGCCCTCATAGTGCTAAGGACGTTCAAAAGTGCTTGTAAGGGTCTAATTGGAATAAATGTTTTTTAACTTTTGACTTTTTGACTTTTGTTACGGTAGCTCAAGATTTTAATTTTCTGATTTTGATGAATCTTTGTACACATATGTGTCAAATAAGCAATTGTTGTGTATAATGAATATTGACAGAATCTCGGAAATGGCTCCAAAGATTTCGATGTATTTTTTTTTAACGTAAGTAGGTACGTAAGGAGTTTCGGTATAGATGACGCAATCTAAATATTCATTTTCAAAAAAAATAAGATATTTAGCTGAACTAAGTCAAAATATTTAAAAATATGGAGTTATCAATTAACAATATCTTGTTTTATACAAACTTAAAACTGTATACACAACTATTTATTGGAACTAACTTCGACAATACCTTGATATACATTGTATGTATAATATAATGCTCTCCTGCACGACCCAGAGCAGGAGAAGGAACGGTTGGTTTTTAGTCAATAAGAGTCTGACACTTATTTTTGCCTCACACAGGCCGGGAGACGTTACTTGATAAATTACCCCATCAAAAAAAAAACCCCGCTACATGTTTCGTAGGATAAGTAAATTTTATTGAGTTTGTATGAAAACCGTCTTTCCGTTAATACTCTTGACAAGTTTTTATCCAAGTTACCAAGTGGATTCGCCACTAGAATACTGTTGAAGCCGGTTATCTATAGACCAAGTTGTTTAACCGAGGTAGATCTGTATAAACATAATTATGAAGGTTAAAATTAGTGTAATCAAAGCAATAGGTATAATTATTCATGTACGTAGTACTAGATATGTATCTAAGTGAATAAATAACAACAATTATATATAGTAAGTATATTGTAAATTAAATGAGTCTGCGACTCAGTTCACTCAGTAAAAAGAACTAAGAAAAGATTGCAAAAATAACAAAATAAAAAAAATGAGGATCTTTTATGAGAACACTAGCTTTTGTCAGCGACTTTGTTCGCGTGGAATAGCGACTTGCTACAGATTTTTGGTTTAAAAACTATCCTACCTGGTATGTTCTTTTTCGAGTTCCAAACTATGTCTGTGCCAAATTTCACACAAATAGGTTCAATAGTTTAGACGTGAAGAAAAGACAGACAGAGTTACTTTCGCATTTATAATTTTTGTTTGGGTATCAACGTGAGTACAATTTTATTGTACTAAGATTATAAAGGTAATGTTATAGAGTTTGTTTGTTTGAGGGACAAAAGACGCAAATGGGTGGTTATATGTGTTTTTCTATAAACATTGACTACGCTGGAACCTTGAAGAGAAACTAGAAAAAGCTATCCGGAATGCCTACTCCTGACTGATGCTCTTTTGTGACTAAAATTTTATTCTATTTCCAATCTTATTTGTTATTTTTTGAGCAGATTTTATTAAAATCATAAATTAAATCAGCTAAACAATATCCATTAAGTATTGTGTGACCTGATTTTATTTATAAAATTAAATTAAATCATTTAAACAGTAACAATTATTGTTTAAGAAGATTTTGTTTAAAAAATTAAATTAAATCATTTAAACAATAACAATTATTGTTTGAGCTATTTTATTTAAAATGTTTTATTAAATCAGTTCAAACAATAACAAATACTAAAATAACGTAAATACAAAAGTAACGGAAGTACACACGTTACAAAAATAGTTTTTGCTTAGTTACCTATACTTTAGTAAATCGTCGCCGTCGTATGGAATTTTTCCATAATTACGACAATTTTTATTGGTATTTGCAGTACCTATTGTATAAGAATGTTAAGATTTTACTTATTTTTATTTACGACTAATAAATTCTTTAACTAATAATTATATTTATCGGGACTTTTTATCAAAAGTGAATGCTAAGTAATAATGTTGTTTTTTTTATTAAAATGCGCTGGTTTTGGCGCCTTTGGTCGTGATTCGCCTGATGGTAAGCGATGATGCGACCTACGATGGAGCACGCCTGGCTCATTAGCAACCTATTCCAGGTTGTATACACTTCAGAGGATACAAATTACCGTAATTCTAAATACTTGATACACGATCTAGTGTTTATCATAATATATGCAAGTCTTTTTTAACTCCTTATTCAATATGTCTCAAGAATCAATAATATTTAAAAATGTTTGTATTTTATTAAAAAACCTTTTCTTGTCTGTTTACAAGAAGGCGATAAATTCGAGATCTATCCGTCGGATTTTCATACGATTTTGCACTGCTGATCTCGTGACTATAGTGTCGACAGTATTATCTCATTTACTTTTATAGATTAATGTTAGGTTTTTTAATGATTAAGTAATTACATACTCTTTGATTAATTAAATGTTATAGGTGGGTTAAACTAAAAATGCACATATTTTTAGTTTAAGGTAATAGGTAACGCTTTTCCTTATTTTTTCCTTTGTATGTTTTTAATTATTTAGTTTAGTTCATAATTAAGGTGTTGTATGATTTATTTCTGATTTTGTTATAGGTATTGGTTTTAATTAGTAAATAAGTACTTAGATTTAGTTATAGGCTTAAGCTATCGCATTGGAGAAATCTGTAATGATAGTATAAGGTGAGATTTTTAAGTAAATAAATAAAATGTTCACCAAAAGACAATGGTTTCCCGAAAGGTTTAGCTGCAGAATTTCTATATGATAATAGAAGAGTGGAAGAGTTTTGCTTCTGCACGATGGGTCAGCTGTAAGTGATACCACAGCGTTGTGTTTTGCTGTGTGAGTGGGGTTACCGGAGGCCCAATCCTTCCCCTCCCCCGATCCCTAAATCTCCGAAACCACATTCGTAACTGCTCAGGGGGCGCCGACTTCTTACAACCAGGTGATCAATCAACTCGTTTGCCATCAAATAGAAAAAAAATAGAATTATACTTACAGAATTAACAGAGAAGACATGTTTTTCTTTAGTAGCTGGGTGGACCTGTGAGACGGACACTACGCATGCGCCGCAGCCACCTTCGTGGCACATCGCCTTGGTGCCATACAGCTGCAGGTAATTCCTTAGGTAGTCATTCAAACTCGTCTCTGGATTCACTTCAGTACCCGCTGTAACAAAAAAAATGTTTATATTTATTTATTTATACACTTTATACAAAAGAATGTACAGGCGGACTTAACGTCCAAACCTAACCAACCTAACGGTCGACCTTCAGCTGGAGAGATGAGAGTGGCAGGTAACAAAAGTATATTTTACTAGATTTTATGACTATATTCTTATGATATACATTACTTAGGTAGTATTGTATATAAACATATAATAAAAATATGCAATATCATTGTACAAATAAGCATTAGGTAGGATATTCTATAATACACAATACCTACAACTATAAAGAATAAGTACATAAAATACACATACTAAAGAAGATGCTCACGCAATCTTGTTTTAAAAGACAAACTTATACTTTCACGGTTGACTCGTACAACCTACTAAGGTCAATGTGGGCCAGCTGGCAACGGAATTGGATCGGGTGGTCTCTAGTCCTGCGGATGAATTTTGATTCCCGCGTCCTCACGCCCACGTGAGAGACGGGACAACAAGGTGGTTTTTAGTCAGTAAAAGTCTGACAGTCCCCTTCGTCTCCCCAGGCGAAGGGGCTCCATGAGGATTTTCCACCTTGGGGCAAAAAAAAAAACAAAAATAAAAGGATGGTCTTTAGTCGGCAAGAATCTGACTCTCGCCCTACCCTGGGCGGGAGAACTCATTAGATGATAATCCCCGCTCAAAACCAACTTAACAATGCATCAAAGAAACTTGATCATTTTTTCCATTTAAATAGAGTAACCATGGAGTTTCTGTCTCGTTCTTCTCCATTGGAATCTATACTTTGGAACGAGCGAAATAGCCTCACTAGACCACAAGACCGATAGACTGGCGCTTTTTATCTTTAAGTTTTGCTTGACGTTCAAAAGTGCCTGTAAGGGTCTTTCTTATGAGCTAGGATTTGCAGTAAGTAGAGGCTTATCATAAAAATACCGAAGCTATAAAATCTGGCATATCCCAGAGAAGGTAACGGAATAATAATTACTGCCCTCGCCGTTTTTTCGAATGCTGGCTGCATTATTATTTGGAAGTTTCCTATGATTAAGAAATATAAGTACAATACATTATATAATTAAAATGAATTATATGTATAAGTATTAATGAAAACTAAATAAGTACCTACTTCTGTTTGATATTCGACATCGAGAAAATATATAATTTAGAACGAAGAGTTTGACTGTACGTTTGGCGCGGTGGCTGGCCAACTGGCTGCCGTGCGACGTGTCGCGGGTTCGATTCCCGCACGGAATAACACTTTGTGTGATCCACAAATTTTTGTTTCCGGTCTGGGTGTCATGTGTATGTGAATTTGTATGTTTGTAAACGCACCCACGACACAGGAGAAAATCCTAGTGTGGGGCAACGTTTTTTAATAAAAGAAAGAAGAGTTCAAAAAATGCGTGTTTTTTATAAAAACCTTTCAAAATGAGAGTTATAGTTTTTTTAACATTTAAATATGGCAGGGTACGGGACACCCGTTATTTAAAAAAGTCATTAGAAAGAATAAGACCTGTGCTTGACCAATAATGTACCAATGCATATGTAGGTACTCTTATATATGTAGTAAGAACAAGCTGTCAATAACAAATGTAAGTTACTCTCATTAAGAAACTGTGTGTGGTCCTAAATAAAGGCTTAAAGCGTGTTTATTTTTTTATTTCTTTCAATTAGGGGACAAAGAATTAACATCTAATGTTTTCGTAGACTTACAAAACTTTACATAATACATAATACACACCACCTGCAATTAACTATATTTTAGAACTATATTTGGAGTGGTCCTGACCACTCCCTTACTATAGGCTAAATCTGAAAGTCAATAGATAGCTAATATAAAGCTAATATTTGTAGAAATATTTTTAGTTACATGGTTTGTTTATGGAATAGATCGGCAAACGAGCAGACGGATTACCTGATGGTAAGCAATCAGCGCCGCCCATGGACACCCGCAACGGAGGAGTTACGAGTACGTTGCCGAATTTTTAGGAATTAGGGTTTTGGAGATTTAGGGATTGGGAGGGATCGGGCCTCCGGTAACCTCACTCACACGGCAAAACCCAACGCTGTGGTTGTTTCACGTCGGTATTCTGTGAGGCCGTGGTATCACTCCGGTCGGGCTGACCCATTCGTGCCGAAGCTTGGCTCTACCACACTAACGGTATATTAAAATTAATTATTAAAAATTAAGCGCGGATAATGTGTTACGGTTTTTTCTAATTAGTAGGTTTACTGTATAATGTAAAAATAAATAAACAATTAAACCGATAACACGCATTCCATCTTATCAGTAAGTATGTTCAAACACACACATTACATTTTTTTATATGTTGTTAATCTTTTATTTACATAGTTTTACGTGTACTAACATTCTACATGTTATATACTATACATATATATACTATATACACGCGTAATACTAATGTACCGAACTACTCACATTTTTAAAATTCCGTAGGTACTTGAAAACGGCATTAACGATTTCTATGAAACTTATAATAAACAGTTTTATTGTAGAAAAAAATCTACCTATGTAAAGTGTGGTTGAGCCATGCGTCGGTTCGACCGAAGTGATACCACGGCCTCAGATTGATACTTGGCGAAGCAACCACAGCTTTTTGTTTCGCGCTGTGCCTCCCCAATTCCTAAATCTCCGAAGTTCTGATCACTGTAACTCCTCGGATGTTGCATGGGTGGCCCGAATTGCTTACCACCATCCATCGGTTTGTTTGTCGCCCTATCACATAAATATTAACAGATAAAATTCCTCACAAATGCGCTAGTGATGACTATTGCTTGTATACCCCGAAGTGGCCATCATTACACTTCGTCCATTCATCTTATACCTTACTTTACTAGCGAACCGCCCCGGTTTCAGATCTGCACGTCGATTCTATAAAATTTGTTTGATTTTGAATCGTGTTCGAGTGCGAAGTGAGCGTCGAAATTACGGGTAAATTAAATTTTAGAATGACACTTTTAACGTCATTTCATACTTTATCTTTCAAAATGATGCTGTCAATTTAGTTCAACTCGCAGTACAGAATCACACCCTACTCAATTTATCCACGACTAAATGGATGGAAGGTTTATATTATACCTCAATATTCCTCTTTAACAACTCTATTAAAAACAGTATCATACATAGGGACATAGGGACGGAGAAATGGACTTTATTTTATACTATGTAGTGATGTGATTCAATCAACTGTACTGTACGGTTAGAAGTATTTCTGAGGGATTTTAGTTACGATACTAACATTACCTTTTTTAATTAATTTAGAATAGGATTAAAATGTTCGTTATTATTTTTATAATAGGCACATTATCTGATGGCACAGGGGTTTTTCGGCAGGGGAAAATCAAATGACTACTCCCGCCCAGGGTAAGGCGAGAGAGACTAGAGTGTTAGACTCTTACTGACTAAAAATTCCCTCCTCCTTTTCCTGTTTTAGGCCGAGGTCGCGGTGCGCACATTGCGGTTACCCCGCAACCTCGGCTGAACATCATCCCTGGCACTGGGTGGGGTATTTGAGAGTTCGAGTATTATGAGCCTGTGTTTCATTGTCCCAACGATTTTTGATTTTATATTTTTTTTATCAGCTATATAATTATTAATCCTCATTTTAATTGTATACAGAAAAATGAAAATTTTGTCGTGGTGGCCTGGAGGCTATCGCGGCCACTTTTCATGCCTAAGGGTGCGGGTTCGAAACCTGGTAAGTACCATTGTGACTTTTCCGAGTTTTATTCACTTTCTTTGGTTATTTAGACCCACTGACATTCGGTGAAGGAAAAAATCGTAAGAAAAACTGGACTTATAATTTCTAAATATAAGTTTGAAATCGTCAATCCGCATTGAGCAAGCGTGGTGATTAATGTTCAAACCTTTTCCGTGTGAGAAGAGGTGTTGCTAGCAGTGGTCACTTATAGGCTAATTATGTGATGTGTGTGAATTTTACTGTCAGGAAAACTTACCTTAATGTATAAAGGCAAGCTAAGTAAGTGAAAAGCATATGTGAAAACTTGTAACTTGACCTTAATTTTACTACCTGTAGTTATACATATGAATAGGGATTGACTACGGGAAGTTACTTAGTTTTATACTACAATATACATATATATTAAGTGAGAAGTGAGGTATTAAAATGAATTTAAAAGTTTGAATAACAATCCGCGCGGTGTAAACAGTCTTAACAAAACATTTTTTTTTTCAGATCAAGTTTAATGACCTCTGAAACTGTTTTGTTGTAGACTTTGCTAAACCTGTTTGTCCGTTGTTTTGACTAAAAATGTATAATTTTGTCTCTCAAGGAAGTTTCATCATGATTACGAAATAATAATATAATAGTAAAAACAGATTATTAAAATATAATAACGGACATCTCATAATTTGAGTTCAACCCTTAGTCAAAATAAATTAGACGGTCTATTGTTGGGACAAAGTACATTTTTCATTGATCACAAAAACAATAATAGTAATCTATATTAATATTATAAAGAGGTAAAATTTGTAAGTTTGTTTGTAGGGGGTAATCTTTGGAACCGCTAGTCGGATTGCCAAAATTCTTTCACTGATAGATAGGTACAATATTCCTGGGTACTATAGACTATAAAACATCACGCTACTATTATATGGAGCTGAGCAGCGGGTAAAACCGCGAGAGAGTAGCTAGTAAGAGAAAATTGTTGTTTAAGAAATAATATTACACAGCCATTATTTCTTTACCATTCAACTTCATTAAAAAATAATCCGTGTTAGTCGATGAGCCTCGTCGAAGTAAGAGAGGAATTGTCTTTTGTTTATCCTAGTCCTTAGCAGACTGAACGAAGATCAAAGTTTAAAAATCTCGAAGATCATTAAACAGCATATTTAAGTATCACTTCAACAAAAAAAAAAACTTACTCAAAGAATACTTGTCACCATTTACGGTGAAATTTATTCGATCCATATTGCCACAGTTTATTTAACATCTACTTAGAACAGTTCACAAGAGCGATAAATATTTATAATAAAAAAAAATGGTCACGTAGTCGCACAAGACTTGAGCGAGGCGTGCGCACGAGCATACTGAGCGCGCATGCGCGTTGGAGTACCGGATCGTTAACAGTCAACAGTCAAGATTGTATCACAAATAGATAATTTATATTATCATGTACTTACATACGTACTATATAAAGATATAGTCGAGCGTTTATGTTTATATACATACTTACGTGTACCTATATATGGTGCGTATTATAGTTTGATCTTTCCTTATATTTTGTGGTTTCTATTTTTCGTTAAATTTTTTCACTGCACCGTTGGTCGGCACATCGTGTCGCGGATTCGATTGCGACGGAACAACTCTTTGTGGGTAATTTGTGTATGTAAAAATGTATGTTTGTACGCGTACCCCTATACAGGGGAAAATCCTAGTGTGGGGCAACGATTTTTTAATGAAAATAATTCGTGGTGTCGGTGTCGATGTTGTATATGTCAAACACTTGGTTGCATTAGAGATCATTTAATCACGTTTCTTTTGCGCTTTTGCGGCATAAAATTGGTACTTACCTATTTATTTGATAAAAAAACTACCAGCTCTACTTTAGCCGACTGCTAGTATTGTGAAACCGGGACAAAAACTATGAAACACAAAACGGTACGTAGCCGTCGGTTGGGTAAGAAAAAAAACTCTATTGACAAGCGACGAAATGAGAGCGAAAGCAGAGATACGAAGTCTGAGATCAAGTAGGAATGTGCACTTAAGGGTCAGTTCACATTAAGACGCGATGCGACTCAAAAAACAACTTTATTTTCTACAGGACAAGATACACTTTCATGCTGCTGAGATATTGGTCACTAGCCTACTATCGCGTCGCGTCTTGGAGTGTATTGGCTCATTCATTATTATTTGGTCGCGTTGCGTTTTGCCCTGAGGGATAATTTTTCAATAGTCGGATAAATGTTATCTGAGGAATAAAATTCTTGCTGTCACTGTCTTATACAAACATTCTGACGCGACAGAATCATGCATAATTATTCCCCAGATAACTTTTATCTAACCATTGAAAAATCAGCCCTAAATTAAATTTAATTTTAACTCTTCATTTCAGACCAGAGATCCATAGGGTAGAAAAAAATACTTAATATTTTAATACTTTTTATCAATATTATTGACATGGACATCGGGATGCACATATGTTTACTTGTCCAGTGTCTAATAATATAATCGGCCCATCAATTTTATCTTCCAGTATAAGTGTGGGAGAGCCATGCTTCGGCACGAATGGGTCGGCTCCGCCGGAGTGATACCACGGCCTCACAGAAAACCGGCGTGAAACAACCGAAACGTTGTGTTTCGCCGTGTGAGTGAGGTTACCGGAGGGCCTTCCCCTACCCCAATCCCTTCCCAGTCCCAAAATCTCCAAAATACCCAATCCTTAAAAGGTCGGCAACGCACTCGTAACACCTGGAGTCCTGAAATACAGGGTTATCCTAGTTTAGGCTCCAACGCACTCCATGTTAAAAATGGCTATTGTGTATTTTTATTAATGTGGAAAATAAATGATTTTTTACTTTATTTTTACTAAATACCAACAAAACTAATGACGCAATTAACTTTACTTAAAGATCTTGAAAAATGGAAATCGTGATGGAAGGCATATATTGCACGCGGACGAAGTCGCAGGCAAAAGGTACCCACTAATATGAATAAACTGCCTCCACTTCATGATACTGATTCTTATCATTCATCATCAGCCTATTTCCGTCCTCTGCTGGATATAAGCCTCTACAATGCCACGCCACTGAGCTCAATGTTCAGCCATTCTCATCCAACCACTGCCAGCCACCCTGCAGATATCGTCAGTCGGCAGTCGACTTTACTGGCCATACACTACGTTTGCCTCGACGTGGTCTCCACCCCAGAACACAACAATAGGGATTCTGCCAGTAGAAGTATTCTACCTCTAATGGCAGAATACTTATACAATGTTAAAATTGGTTAGGGATCATACTACTATTACCTTACGGGTTTGATAATCCTACCAGTTCTACTAATATCAATGACTTCTCCCGTCGTAAGGCGAGAGAGAGTGTCAGAACTCTTACTGACTAAAAACCACGTTCCTTCTCCTATTCTAGGCCGAAGCTAGAAGCAGCCCCGGCTGAACATCAGCCCTATAGTGACCTGTCTGGTGGTTACTTCGAACCTAGGGGGTAACTTTGATCCAAATACAATAATATTTAAGTGTGGGAGAGCCATGCCTCGGCACAAATGGGTCGGCTCGACCCCAGCCTCACAGAAAACCGGCGTGAAACAACCACAGCGTTGTGTTTCGCCGTGTGAGTGAGATTACCGGAGGCCCAATCCTTCCCTACCCCCAATCCCTAAATCTCCAAATCCCTAATCCCCAAAAGGTCGGCAACGCACTCAAAACTCCTCCGTTGCGGGTGTCCATGGGCGGCGCTGATTACTTACCATCAGGTAATCCGCATGCTCGTTTGCCGATCTATTACATAAAAAAAAACCAGAAGCAAACGCGTATTTGTTTTTCATCAAAATATAAAAGATTCATAGAATAACCAATTCTGGGTCAAAGTAACCCGAACTCCGGTACCTACATATATAACACTGGTAGACTCACACACCCACACATAGCGAACCCTATCAAATGACAATCAACAAAACTAAACGTACTTATACATTCCAAAAATAGAGGGCGCTGTTGCTTCGTCGCTCATAAATTATATAGAAGTAGGTACTTAAATAATCAGCGATGGTTAAACCGTCATCTAACATAGGAGCGAAAAGCCAACCAAGTATCAAAGAATCTTTATGTGACACTGAACTGAATGGTTACTCTGGTAAGAGTAACCATGGAGTTTCTTGCTCGTTCTTCTCCATCGGAATCTACACTTTGGAACGAGCGAATAGCTTCACTAAGAGGACTGACCGACAGACTGACACTTTGTATCTTTAAAGTTGTGTTGACGTTCAAAAGTGCCTGTATGGGTCTAATTGAAATAAATGATTTTGACTTCGACTTTGACTTTGAAGCAGATTCGAATATCACACTTATTAATTATTACTCAAATATTATTATCATTAAAATACTTTATTATTTGTTTGACTTTAATGTTAATTTGATCTTAGTAATTGAAGCATGCTATTAGACTTTGAATTGACTTAATTTTAATTTCATACCGCAGATGCAGGCCAATACATAACCCGTGGTTGGAGGTACGAAATATTAATTGAATCATTAGGCACAAAAGAAAAATGGCTTCATTAAAACCCCTGTACCAAATAATATATTTTATTTTATTTAGGGCTGATTTTTCAATAGTCAGTTAAATGTTATATGAGGAATAAAATTGTTGCTGTCACTGTCTTATATAAACATTCTGACGCGACAGCATCATAATTATTCACCAGGTAACTTTTATCTAACCATTGAAAAATCAGCCCTTATTGTGTACAAGAGCTACTTACTGTCTCTTTACCACTCAATTAGTCGTTTTTCAAAAAAAGTTTTTTTATTTAAGTAGTTAGTTTTATGTTCATCTAGGTATTTATATTCTAAAAAGTTTGTTGGCTAGCTTTAACGCGCTAATCTCCGGAACTGCTGGTTCGAATTCAACAAAACTTTTTTTGTGTTGGTTAGTTCATTTCACATCGAGGAAGGCTTAAAACATCACGCTACGACCGAAAGGAGCCGAGCAGGGCTGAAACCGAGTAGATAGTCTTTATATCTTCTTATATATAAAAATGGATCGCAAAATGTGTTGTAAGCGCATAACTCAATAACGCCTAGACCAATTTTGCTAAATCTTTTTTTGTTGTGTTTGTTATTGTCAGGAGGAAGTTTTTATCTAAGAAAATATTGGAAGAAGGGAAGATTAGGAAAAAGAAAAAAAAGTGACCCTTTGATAGCGAGATAGTTGGACCCGTGCGAGGCGGGGGCGGGCCGCTAGTGTTACATAAAAAGGTTAAATACAGCCCTGTGTCTTAAATCAGAAGACGTTTGAGTGTGTGCTAAGAAGGTGAAGGGCGACTCGATGTGTTATAAACAATTCGAAGTCTACACGCCCGATAAGTAGTAGTTTGTTTGTTGTAAAAATGCTACTCAAGTGTACAGGGCCGAACTTCACGTTTGGTGCCGTGGAATTGGCTACAAAAACTCTTAATATATGTAATAATTGGTGGATAACTAACATAGTGTTGTCCTGTGTCTGATGTGTTGTAAAAGTTTTTGATAAAGTCTTGAAAGAATAATATCAGTCACTGCTGACATCATTATCATAATCTTACAGAACCTCATGAAAATAGGAGTGTAGTTTTTAATACCTAAAACTTTGAATGCAATTTAGGCTAGAGAATATACGAATACATTTTAATTAATACGTATTTTAAACTGAAAAACATTCGTTGATACTTTATCAAGACGTAAAATCCAAATAAATATTATAAATGCGAAAGTAACTCAGTCCGTCTGTCTTTTCTTCACGCCTAAACTACTAAACCTATTTGTGTGAAATTTGGTACATAGTACTTTGGAACTCGAGAAAGGACATAGAATAGATTTTGTGCCAAAAATCTGCAGGAAGTCACTATTCCACGCAAACGGAGTCGCGGGCAAAAGCTAGTTAAATGTAAATGCTCAACGACTCAAAGTTTATTTCACTGTAATGTACAACAGAATTCGTCCCTGTACAATTTTTGTCACGCTCATCACATTGGATTGAATTTCACGAACTCTTGTGTTTATGTTATAGATTATATTTATTATTTTAAAGCAGCGAGAATTATATATGATTAGTTGTGAAGTGGAAGGGGAAGGGATCAAGTTTCTGATTATCCTGTATGGCAGTATCTCAAACGAACGCGCTGAAGTATTAAGTTGTATTTTGTAACAATGTGTACGGCTGAAAAATGTTGTTATGTTGTGCCTTTAAATATTGGATGTGTTGCAGTGGGAGTCACCAGTTTTGTAAGTGTCTATAATAATTTTATTTCTTTTTTTATTAATGGGAAATACGAGTAATTGCGTCGTGCGTTTATGATTATGAGTATGTTTGAAATATTATTTTATAGTAATATAGTAAGTACTTGTAACATGTTGTTTGTAATATAATTTCATTGTTTTGATAAAACAGTTTTATGGAATTAATACCAAATTCAATATGATATATTTGATAGATGTGACGTTGATGTTAAGTAAATAAGGATCCATAAATATCATAAGGAATTTAAAACACTATGTTTTAAATTACTTATGGATTTCTATATTAAATTAATTTCCTTAATTTATATTTTTATTCTTTAATTAATTTCTTGATTCAGGCGTTACTACACACGTTCACTGCGCCATCATTTTCAAAGAACTTTCAGCTGGTGCTTTGGAGACCTAAAAGATCTCGAAACTAATCTGCCCTTTAGTGCGTTTGAGACCTAATCAGTCTCCTAAAAATACAGTTTTGACAATAACTCATATCTTCCAGAAAACCAATGACATATATTTTAAAGTTTATGTGGGTGAAAGATAGCCTGTTGCTCTATATTTTGCTAGGTTCGCACGCAGTTATGACATTTGTATAAACTACAAATACCAAAAAAAAAAATAGGTATCGGTCGTATCTCATACCGCAACCGAAGATAGTTCAATATGTGTAGTAAGTAGTGATGGGAACAAAATAATATCTCAGTTGTCGATTTAAAAAATTATTAATACTAGGTACTTCTAGTTTACTATAACAACGTTTTTGTTATAATGACTGAAATTGTTATTGCTAATGTTACCAGAAACTTGCCAGAGAGATGTGAAACCGGGTTCCCCGCCGTGTAGTAATGCTTACATAATTGTAACACTATAACATTAGAGATAAGCAGCAAAGCCCACCAGGAATGCGACTAAGATAAGACAGTCACAGCAACAACCAAACATTTTCAGGCAATCAACAGAAGAAGTACATTAACACAAAAACTACGTTTAGTCCAAAAAAGCCAGGCACATGTACTAACATGTGCCTGCCAGTCGGCAATAATGCCTAAATTAATGTTATTTAAATTGTATCCAAGAAGACGTCTATTCAGTAAACTGGAATGATTGAAATGGTGCATAATAAGCTCGACTTCATGCGAACCGTGCTGCAGTTAGTTGACGATGCTTAGCATATGCGTTGTCTGGAACCATTACCTTAGTTTCTGGAGAGATTTTAGCTACCTTTATGAGCATATGTTTCCTTCTAAAATCACCCATTGTTAATAAAAAGTAATCAACACGTACACGACGTATATACGCGAGTGTTATTTCCGTTTATCCACGTCGATGCTAGGACAACACTAACACGAGTCACGGAGCGCCCGCGCCGCCCTCCCTTCCTCTCTTGCGTCTACGAGGCCTATGATTCCACGAGTATCGACATATCTCGTAACGCAAGAAATAAAAATAATTATAGTACTGTGCGTTAGGGATCTAATCCATCTCTAATTTATTTTTTAATGTCTTTAAATTCAGTTTTAAGTAGAACGCAAATATGTATATGTGTCTTACTCATACATAAAGAACTTTACAAGTTAGATCCTCCCGCAAGGAGTGAAACAACACGATTTTATTCAACGCACAATAGAAAAGTTCTGCAAGAGATCTGATAGATCTCGTAATGCAGCGAACGTGTTAATGTTATGAGAAATATGGATGTGCATATGCATGATTGCATAGGGGTGGTATTGCATCCTGCAACAAACCTGGATTTTTGACGCGGAATTAAAATTAACTAAATCTTTTTCATAACATTTTATATTATTCTTTAATTGTTGTGTTGGTAAATGAGACTTTGTTCAGCCTTTGGCTTACAACAAGAACACTCTGAGAGGTATAATCGAATTGGAATCATCATCATCATAAGCCTCTAAGTGCCCACTGCTGAGCAAAGGCCTCTTCTCATACGGAGAAGGTTAGAGCGTTAATCACCACGCTTTCTCAATGCGGGTTGGCGATTTCAAACTTATAATTGGAAATTATAAGTCCAGGTTTCCTCACGATGTTTATCTTCACCGTATGTCAATGGTGTCTAAATAATCATAGAAAGTACATATAACTCTGAAAAAGCCACATTGGTACTTGCCAGGTTTGAACCCACGCCCTCATGCATGAGAAGCGGGCTCCTTAACCTCCGGGCCACCATGACTTACTTAAATCGAATTGGAATAAATACATAATTATAAAAAAAACCGACAATGTTAAAACTAGCTATTCTCGCGTGGTTTCACCTGCTGCTCAGCTCCATTTGATCGTAGCGTGATGTTTTATATCCTACAGCACTATGGAACATTGTAGGTAAAAAAAAAATCACTATCAGTGAATTTTTTTTTATCAGAGAATTTTGGGAATCCGACCAGCGTTTCCAAAGATTACCACTTACATACAAACTTACTTACCTCTTTATAATATTAGTATAGATGAAAAATATTTTTCCTCTCACAAGGTTTTTCATCTGGGTTTTCCCGTCACGCTTTTCATACTTTTTTGGTTAGTCATTTTTGTGTATCGAGGGGGTGGGGGTTATTTTTTTTTTGTGGTGCAGTGACTGGGCAACTGGCTTCTGTGCAACGTGTCGCGGGCCGCGGGTTCGGTTCCCACACGGAACAATTATTTGTGTGATCCACAAATTGTTGTTTCGTGTCTGGTTTGTATATGTGAATTTGTATGTTTGTAAACGCCCATGACACAGGAGAATTTTTTTGTGTGGGCAACGTTTTTTTTAAAGAAAAAGCACGCACTTAGATTCGCAGCGCTACATATAGATAGACAATGCCAATTCATGGTCGCAATCAATTCAAATAAATGTAGGTAGGTAAATTAACTTACCTATTCCCTAAATTCTTACCATGCATTTTGTGTGTTTGCTACAATTTACCTCAAAGGAAATAATGTATACTACATAACTAAGTACCTACCAACCTATCGAAACTTTTTTAGCAAAAACTTTGCTAAAATAATTTAATAATTTTGCAATGAGGTATGCCTACCTAAATTGCGCTGTTGCATATCATATTATCATGTGCTCAATAAGTTTTTTATTGAAATAGAGAAATCAAGAAATGAAAATGCTTGCTCATTACGCATTACTGAATGAGTTTGTTTAGTTGGTAGAACAAAAAGTACCTAATAAGTGTAGGAGAGCCAAGCTTCGGCACGAATGGGTCGGCTCGACCGGCGTGAAATAACTACAGTGTTGTATTTCGCCGTGTGAGTGAGGTTACCGGAGGCCCAATCTCTTCCTCCTCCACCAAAAGAGTTACGAGTGCGTTGCCGGCCTTTTGGGGATAGGGGTTGCGGATATAAGGATTGCGAAGGGATAGGGGAAGGGGGGGATTGGGCTTCCGGTAACCTCACTCACACGGCGAAACACAACGCTGTGGGTTGTTTCACGCCGGTATTCTGTGAGGCCGTGCTATCACTCCGGTCGAGCCGACCCATTCGTGCCGAAACTTGGGTCTCCCACAATTGCACATAGGCTGTTTTTATCAACACGATGGATCTAGTGGAAGCTAGTAATAAAAAAAACTATAATTTATCTTCCAGATCCTGTCTGCATCAATGTTTTCGATTGCAACGCTGTTCTTTATCCTGAAGACTGAAGATAATAAGCAGGAGCTATCGGAGGAGAGCGTGCACTTTGCCAAGTACCTGGGCCTTAACCTGAACGTGTCATCAGTCCACATTATCCTCTCTATTACTATAATAATTTCTTTGGCATGGATGATGTTCTCCGTCCTTCTGATCGTAGGCATCCTCAGGGTAAGTGTGTGATTTGTTTATTTATTTATTTCTTCTTTATACAATATACATAATGTTTTTGTTATTGGGGCGAGCCGGCCACCATTTCGCAAATCGGCTGTAACTCCAGTAATCCAGGATTTAACAGAATAGGTACAATCATAAAAACACCGAAACATTGAAGTCTGACGCGTTCCAGGAATATTAATTATTCTTTGATCTCGCAACGAAATTAACCAGAGGATATTATTTAAATGGAAAAGAAAAAGAAACCGAAATAGTTTCCACCTTTCTTGGAATGATCCTGTGAATGGCGGACTTAGTACCTTAAGATATTCTCAAACAGTCAACCATAGGGTGGTGCAGAGAAATCAAGCAAAGCTAAGTCACCCAGAAGAACCTCGCTATACGATCGGTTCTGGGAGACTGACTACTCCTTCCCTCCCCCGTCCCTTCTCCTGCTTTAGGCCGAAGCCGCGGTACCTTATCGAGCCCCCATAGAGCCCCGTCTATGGTGGTCTATTAGCTCTTTGAGCGATTCGCTCGGGGCTGATTCTGGTCGGGCGGCGAGCTACCCGAGCTCGTCTCGTCCGCAGAACTGTGTCGAAACAACAATTCACTGCAGAAGCTACAGTGTGAGAAAAATAGAAATATAATTTGTTTGTAATTTACAGAACAATGTCAACTTCGTACTGAGTTACTTCTTGTTCGGTATCGTGATCAACATCATCAGTATGCTTAGCGCTCTTCTGGTATTGCTGCAAGGCAGCTGGGTGCTATCCATTTGCCTCTTCGTATGGGCCCGTAAGTAAACTTAAAGTTTTATTTAATCAAAAAATAATCCTAACCATCGGAACTAATATTTATTATATACTATATATTCTTAACTTTCCTCGATTATTATCTATACTAATATTATAAAGAGGTAAAATTTGTAAGTTTGTATGTAGGGGGTAATCTTTGGAACCGCTGGTCGGATTGCCAAAATTCTTTCACTGATAGATAGCTACAATGTTCCTGAGTGCTATAGGCTATAAAACATCACGCTACGATGAAGTGCAGCCGAGCAGCGGGTGAAACAGCGCGAGAGTAGCTAGTCCAACATAAAAAAGTTTAATTCGACCTTTCTTGTGTTGAGGTTGCATAGCACTAGTGAAAAGCTCTTTGGTACATTGCTAGGCAACTAACTGTTAGAAAAATTTAATGTCACTCGTGAATAAAAAGAAGATCATGTCGAATGTGTGCAATATATAAAACTAAATAAATAAACAAATAATCTAAATATTTTGTAACCAAATAAACCTAAATTATCGCTATAAAGTGTCAGTGTTGTCATACTGGAGAAAACCCCTACTATCTAGCCGAAATCTAAAGTGGGAAATACGATCACGATTTGGTCTCCGGAGCTTCCAGATTGGTAAGAAAATAAGTAGACCACGTTTTAATAGGTATTGGGACCCACCACCACTGGACGACTGAAAAGTGCCATGGATTTCTCAACGAAATTAGAGATCGGAAAACTAGAGGGCAAAAACAATTGGCAAACATGGAAGTACAAAATTTCAGTCATGCTTGAGGGTACGGAAGGTGCTTTAGAAGCAGTAGAAAATAGACTTCCAATGCCAGTTTTACCACCTGGTGCAGGAGATGCTGCTCAAAGCACTTATAATGCTGCAATGGCTAAATATAAGAGGACTCAAAGCGGTGCACTCCTGATGCTGACAACCAATATGACTGAAGAAACGTTAAAGAAGGTTATGCGTTACAAAACGGCACACGAAGTTTGGGCAGAACTGCATCGACTTTTTGATAGGCAGACAGAGGACAGGGCTTACAACTTGTGTCTTGAATTCTTTGGGCTAAAACGGGATCAAGAGGATGATATTCCTACACTTCTGTCAAAGCTAAAGAATTTATGGAACGACCTAGTAGTGGAGATCCAGAAAGTAGACGCAACAGCTAAGCTGCCTGATCTATTCCTTATCTGCAAGGTTTTACATACTCTGGATGACAGGTATTTTAATTTTAAGTCGAGCTGGTTAATGCTGAAGCAGTCTGAGAAAACGATCGACAGTCTTACGAGTCATCTCTGCGCGTTTGAAAGAGATTTAGGTGGTCCAGAGAGCACCATCCAAAAGGAAGCACTGGTGACTACACCTGCAGAGCAAAAGAGTAAGCACAAGAAGGAGAGAAATGATCTGAAATGTAACTACTGTTCCGGTAAAGGACATAGAGTTAGACAGTGCAAGAAATGGATAAAGGATGGAAGACCACCAAAGCCAAGCACGTCACATTCAGACATTAAATCTAACCAAGTGCAGAACTTATCGCTGATGGTGAACGCGTGCACAGTTAATCAAATACAAGATAAAGAATCTTGGTATGTTGATAACGGAGCAACCACGCACATAGCCGTTTCAAGAAAGATGTTTACGGATTTTCGTGAATTCGATTCAAATCACACAGTAACTACAGCGGATGGGACTGTGATTCCTGCAGTTGGAATAGGTTCTATTAAAGTTGAATCCAAGGTCAACGAAACTAAAGTCCATATTACTCTTGAAGAAGTCTGGCTAGTACCATCACTCACAAAAAATCTCTTTTCACCGTTGGCGGCACAAGACAGAGCGCAGAACAGTATTTTTACATCAACGACAAAAAAATGCAAGTTGGAAATTGAAGGCATGACTAAAGTCGTTGGCAGGAGGATCCCAAAGGGAGGCCTTTACAAGTTGGACTTTAAAACGGTAATTCCAACAACACCGAGAGCTATACAGGTAAATGCTGTCACCGGTTCCAATATGCTGCAGCTCTATCATGAGCGTTTTGCACATCAGGACAAGCGGCATGTAATACGCGTCGTAAAACGTGAATTAGGCGTGAACCTCAAGCCTGATAATATTAAATGCGAAGGCTGCATATATGGGAAGTCCCAAAGACAGACCTTTGGAACCAGGGAAAGAGCTACTGTATGTGGAGAGCTAATCCATACAGATGTATGCGGTCCTTTTGCACCAAGCATAACTAAACTCCGGTACTACGTATTGTTCAAGGACGACTACTCAGGCTACCGTATGGTTTACTTCATACGTCAGAAGTCAGAAGTCAAGGACAAGTTGCTGCAGATGCTGAAAGAGGCAAAGAATGCTGGGCATAATGTGAAAACCTTGCTTAGTGACAACGGTGGCGAGTTTGATAATAAGGACGTCAAGAAAATACTACAGGATTTTGGTATACAGCACAGACTGACAATGCCTTACACACCGGAACAGAACGGGTGTAGTGAGCGTGAGAACCGAACCCTGGTAGAGGCCGCGAGAAGTATGATGCATGCAAGGAATGAGTTACCGCAAATTTTGTGGGCGGAATTGATTAATACCGCAGCGTATGTTCTGAATAGAACAGGCCCAAGTCGAGTGACAGACAAAGTTCCATACGAACTATGGCACGGCAAAAAACCTCGAATATCACACCTCAAGGTTATTGGTAGTGAATGTTATGCACATATCCCAAAGCAGAAGCGTAACAAAATGTCTAGGAAAGCCATGAAAGGCATTCTTATTGGCTATGAAAACGACGATGGATATCGTGTGTGGGACGGACATCAAACATTCAAATCCAGAGACATAACTTTTCAAAGTAATGTTGAATTCACATTACGGTTAGGGTCTGAGGATGCTACTGATACTACTGAGCAAGATGATGATGGAGAGTTTGTCGATGCTGAAGGGGAAGAGAATTTTCCGGCTGAAGGGGAACAGCAACCTCTTGACATAGTTGAGCCTCTGAGAGTAGAGGTGCCTCGACTAGAAGGGGAAGAAGAGGAAATTGTAGTCGAGCCCCTGAGAGATGAGCCCCAGAGAGAAGAGGAATCTAGATATAACCTTAGAGACAGGTCAACTCTTGCTCCCCCTAAGAAGTTCGATGACTACGTCTGCTTTGTAGGCACAGAAAACTTTCCAGAGAGCTACCATGAAGCAATAAGTAGAACTGACGGTGCGGAATGGCGGAAAGCCATGGCCAGCGAGCTTCAGTCACTCAAGGAGAATAATGTATGGACACTGTGCGAGCTCCCGTCTAATAGAAAGGCGCTACCATGTAAATGGGTTTTTCGGATTAAACGACACCCAGATGGAAGCATAGACAAATATAAGGCGCGATTGGTCGTTAAAGGGTTCAGACAACGGAAAGGGCTAGATTATGAGGAGACATATAGTCCGGTAGCCAGGATGTCTACCATTAGAGCTCTTTTAAGCGTTGCTGCACAAGAGAAACTTCATTTAACACAATTTGACGTCGCGACAGCCTTTTTAAATGGGAAATTAGAGCAGGAAATATACATGTCACAACCTCCTGGCTTTTCTGATGGCTCTTCGAAAGTATGCAGGCTACAGAGGAGTCTATATGGCCTAAAGCAAGCTCCTCGTTGCTGGAACATGTGCATTGAAGACATTCTGTTGCAAAAAGGATTCACACAGAATGAAGCTGATTGTTGTCTCTTTACAAAGACAGAAGGGGGCAATAAGATTTTGTTGGCGTTGTACGTGGATGACGGACTCATGGCCACTACAAGCGAGGCTTTGGCAACTAAATTTTTGAAGGAGCTGGGACAAGCTGTCAAAATCACAAGCAAGCCGGCTTCGTATTACCTTGGCCTTGAAATAGAACGTTCCAAGGATGGATCTATATTTATAAGCCAACAAGCTTACACGCGGAAGATCCTCGAACGCTTCAATATGATTGACTGCAATCCCGTCTCTACACCAATCGAAACAGTGACTTCAGAAACAGGGAAAGCACCTGAGAAAAATTTTCCTTATCGAGAGGCAGTAGGAGCCTTAGCATACTTGATGACAGGGACGCGCCCCGATATCGCGTATGCTGTTGGGGTAGTATCACGGAAGTTGGAGAATCCGACAGAAGCTGATTGGCTGAGAGTCAAGAGGATCTTCAGATACCTTAAAGGAACAATGTCCCATGGCATCAAATACAGTTCGGGTCCTTGCAAAGCTGTAATTCGAGGATATAGTGATGCAGATCACGGTGGTGATGAGCTTAGTGGACGCTCAACCACAGGCGTTATTTGTATGTATGCTGATGGAGTTGTTTCGTGGCTAAGCCAACGTCAAGCATCGGTCGCGATTTCAACAACCGAAGCGGAAATTGTGGCAGCGAGCGAAGGTGCACGAGAACTTGTGTGGCTTCAGAGGATCTATGCTCAACTTACAAGTTTGGCGGACATATCAACTTTAAGCGTGGATAATGAAGCAGCCATTCGCCTTGCCCACAATCCCGAATTTCATAAACGGACGAAACACATCCGAATACGTCACTTCTTTGTACGTGAAATTGTGCAAGAAGGTCTATTGAATGTGCAGAAAACTAGCTCCACAGAGCAATTGGCTGACCTTTTGACGAAGGCAGTACCAAGACCCTGACTCGTTAAACTGAGAGAGGATTTGGGTCTGCAAGATCTTTCCAACTAGTGAGGGAAAGTGTTGAGGTTGCATAGCACTAGTGAAAAGCTCTTTGGTACATTGCTAGGCAACTAACTGTTAGAAAAATTTAATGTCACTCGTGAATAAAAAGAAGATCATGTCGAATGTGTGCAATATATAAAACTAAATAAATAAACAAATAATCTAAATATTTTGTAACCAAATAAACCTAAATTATCGCTATAAAGTGTCAGTGTTGTCATACTGGAGAAAACCCCTACTATCTAGCCGAAATCTAAAGTGGGAAATACATCGATCACGATTTGGTCTCCGGAGCTTCCAGATTGGTAAGAAAATAAGTAGACCACGTTTAATATCTTGCTCGATAGATTCGCGACTATTCTACAAATTCCACCACCAATAGATAGTCATTAAGAAAATTTTACAAGCTCAATGTTAACTAATGTACCTGTATTTTTCTTTCAGTTTTCCACATACGTTTCCTGATTGTAATTCACACGGCTTACGACCTTATGAACATAGGCAAAGACTTCAGATTTCGTCGACAAGGGAACGATGTCGATCTTCTAGTCGAATGTTTCGATGACAATCTGGATGAATAGTGTTTAGGAAATAAAGTTAATTTTAGTTATTTCCTATAAAACGTAATATACCATAAATGTTAATTGATTAGTGCGTTATAAGGACAAAGTTTCACTTGATATTATTTTCGTGTTGATTACGGATATTGGCGTGCAAATAATGAGTCGAACGAGAAATGGACTATATCTAGTAATATCATAATTATATGAGTATGCAAGTCGTTTACCCCAAAGATGGACAGAAGACCTGACAAGGGTCATAGGAAGCCACTGGACGCATTTCGCTTCAACGTCCAACCACATATACATATACTCGAGATTATATATATGATATTGTGTCGCATGCTGTCGAATACAGTACCGCCGACGTATCTTGGCGAGTCTGAAGTTAGCCGATTAGCTGCGCAGTACACAATTTTGTTCCTAAAAGATCCATTGCGCAGACATACGGCTAACTTCAGACTCGCCAAGAAACGTCGGCCGTACTATATGTCGCGCGTCGCAACACGACACACCACGCCACACAAGTGTGTATCTAATCTTAATAGTTTGAACTATACTGTAATATGTTAGGTATAGTCTGCAAAGTAAAATTAATATAATTTTTATTAATAAGTAGTATGATTTTTCCGTACTTACCCAAAGGATAATACGGGACCTCTACCTAAGACTCCACTATCCATCTGTCAATCATAGCTAAACAGGTTGTAATATCTAGTAATGCACTTTAATTTGTGATAAAGGAAAAATAATGTGTCTCTTGTACAGCTCACACTGTAGAAACACTTACCCAGTAGATATACGAGGTGAAATCCTGTGGCAGGAAAGTGTATACTCCTGTGTTTTGGACCAAAACGTGTAAACCAAATTGATACTTAATTGTTTGGATTAAAGATTTAGAATCGACTACAAGAATCAATAAGTACCGAAAAATACAATATTGTTTTTACGTATTTTAGTATTAAGGTTTTTCATCAATACATGCAAAGAATATAGAGGCTATATTTTATGTTTTTATATTTAATTATAAATAAATTAAATATAAAGAATATATGTACCGCTATTTTTTTTTCTAACCTTATAATGAATTTTCTAAACATTATTTTTTATTTATATGTGAAGTTTTTCGAAATTAAATATTTAATAATTTCGTACCTATTCGTATTGTAATTTTATAAAAGTTGTAGGTACACTAAATTCCTACGACAAATTGTGTCGCAGTTTTTTGTTTTTATAAAAATGTTGCCGCACCCTATTATTTTCTCCTGTGTCGTGGATGCTTATACAAACATACTTTACATACACAAGCCACTAAGACCCGAATCCCCGTGTGGAAATCGAACCTGCGAGACGTTGCAGAGCAGCTAGTTGCCTAGCCACTGCGCAAATCGTGCAGTCTTTGCAGGCGAAGTCAGTTTGGGCGGGAGTTGGCTTCAGCGTAGTAAGTATTCCATGAGCTCCACTCAAAGATAAACAGCTTCTAAGGGCCACGAGCATGGCGGGACTCAAAGCATGCCAGCGAATGCGGTAAATTCGAAATTAAGAACAACTTGAGTCACGGCATACGACAGGTCGACAGTGGAGGAACACTGCGGCGATTGTAGCCCGTAAAAATAATATTATTAAAATACTGTTTTTTTATGTTATAGGTCGGCCAACGAGAACCTGGTGGTAAGCAATCAACGCCGCCCATGTACACTCGCTACACCAAAGGAGTAACGAGTGCGTTTCCGGCATTTAAGGGATAAAGGTTTTGGATATTTTAGGAGCTGAACAGCGGGTGAAACCGCCCGAGAGTAACTAGTCTTCTATATAAAAATACGTCAAGCCATCTGGTGGCGAATATCTCTATAGATACCGAACAGGCAAAAACTGTACTAAGACATACTTTTTTTTGTGTGGGGAAAATCATCAAATTACTTCATCCGCCCAGGGCCGGGTGGGTGGGAGTGTCAGACTATTACTGACTAAAAACCCACCCGTTCCTTTTCCTGCTCTGGGCCGAGGTCGCGGTGCCTCATTGCGCTTACCCCGCAACCCCGGCACTAGATAATAGGTAAGGAGTAAATAAAACGAATTTGAGTTTTACAACAATAATAATATATTTTTATATAGACATAATAGTGACAGCAAACAACTACCAAATTGAATAAATACTAAAGTTTCCGTATATAAATTCTTGTTTAGTTATTTTATTATTTACATTTACAAAATTCAATTTAAAATTCGCATTAAACGTACAATAAGATAATTAAAATAGTTTAAGCTTAATTAAGTATAATAATTTGACATTAATTTGACACATTTTATTGGCATTGGTGTGTTTAGCAGATTGGATCTGTATTCACCTCATCTTCTTTTAAGTGCAAAGCCTATATAGTATACTCATAAATCTTTCCATCATCATCATCATCATTAGCCTATTAGTGCCCACTGCTGAGCAAAGGCCTCTTCTCATACGGAGAAGGTAAGAGCATTAATCACCGCGCTTGCTCAATGCGGGTTGGCGATTTCAAACTTATAATTAAAAATTATAAGTTCAGGTTTCCTCACGATGTTTACCTTCACCGTATGTGAGTGGTGTCTGGTGTCTAAATTACCATAGAAAGTACATATAACCCGGAAAAAGTCACGTTTGTACTTGCCAGGTTTCGAACCCACGCCTATTCTAATTTAAATCATCATCAAAATGATGTTAATTCTTTATAAAAATCTTTTAACTTTTACCCTCAAGTAACGAAACAAAAACAAATTAATTAGTTTAATTCTCCCTACGCACAATTTGTTATTCAGTTGTGTTTTATAAGTTTTCTTGGGATTAGCAAAAAAACTTGATACTTATTCCTTCCCTTAGGTGGGCGCCACCAGTTTTACCCAGGCTGTTCAATGGCCCTTACCGCATTGTTGATCAGATCAATTGTATTGAATAGACAATATAACTATATTCGGTCTACAAAAATGCACAAAATTCTAACCTTCATATAATATTCATTAAAACTATTGAAATCTCCTGTCTTATTCGTATTTTGAAATACGCTCCACACGATATAATTATTATGTCTTTGATTGCGGACAAAAGCTTTTGGCGGCTAATCCTTCGATAGCATCAAAGACCATGGCGTTCAATGTGTTGAAAAAAAGTACCTACCTAACTAATTTTTAGATCTCACAAGTGCTTACGAAGAGACGCTTGCTTTTGACATGGCAGCTAATTGGTTATAAGGTCACGATGTTCTTCCTGGCACCCCAAACATAAAAATAATAGTAAATTGAGGCTAAATAAATGGTTCACACTTCTTCTCTGGTGTTCAATTGCTTATAGAAACTGTGGCACAGAAGAATGGTGTAGATGTTGTGAGCTGAAATGATAAGAATGAAGAATTTTAAATTTGGTATTCTTTAAATAACGTAATGGAATTTTATGCTAGTATTTAACTAACCTGTAAAAAATTTTATATATGTACTACATACTGATGAATACTTATTCAAACTAATTTCAAATAGGGCTAATTTTTCAATGGTTAGATAATAGTTACCTGCGAAATGTACCTAATTATGATGCTGTCGCGCCAGAATGTTTGTACTTATAAGTCAGTGCCAGCAACAATTTTATTCCTCAATGAAACAATGAAACAATGAAACAATGAATTTATTTTTGCAAATAGGCCTTAAAACGGCACTTTTACACGTCAAATTATATGTGAAAAACTAGATGAAGCCGGCATTTCCTATCTGACTACTCTGAGAAGAAATGCCGAAACAAACTCAGAGGTCAGTCTCTTTTCAAGTCCAGACAATATAAAATAACATAATGTGAGAGAACCGTGCAAGTTCATTCTGTAGTGGTCTTTTGAGGAAAGAACCACACCAGTTTAAGTGGACCCGTTCTGAAGACAGGCACGCAAGTGTCAGTTTGCAACCATATAGCTAGTGCTGTTGAGTTGTCCGACGAACAATACCGATCAAAAGAACATTTGGGTGGGTCGCGCAAGTACTCAAACTGTCAGAACGCAGATGACTGGTGATAAAAAGCACGACAAGTCTCACACGGTCCTTACACTAACAATAATATAAAATAATAAAAATGTCAACAAATAAATAAAAAAAAAAAAATGTCAAATAAAAAATAAAAATGTCACAATAGGTGATCATGTCATTGTATAAAAAAAAATAAACGTAATGTCAAATTGTATATAAAAGTGTAACTTATGTTACAAACATGTCAACATGACCTGTGCAGACATTACAGCGGCTCATTCCCAAGCCTGACTATCCTCTAAGTAGTCTTTTATTTTATAAAATGCTTTGCAGCAAAGTTTAGCCTTTATTACACTTTTAAATTTATTGAGGCTCAAATTTTGAATATCGCTAGGAATTTTATTGTAAAAGCGTATACATTGACACCTAAACGAACTACTTATTTTCTGAAGCCTGGAGGCAGGCACAACATATTTGTTTTTCCCCCTCGTGTTGATATTATGTATATCACTATATTTCTTAAATAAGCTTTTGTTTTTATGAGCGTGAATTACATTTTCATAAATATATTGAGAGGCAACTGTCATTATTTTAGATTCCTTAAATAATTCTCTGAGCGAATGCCTCGGACTAAGATTATAGATTGATCGAATAGCCCTTTTCTGCAGAACAAAAATAGACTGGATGTCAGCAGCATTCCCCCACAACAAAATACCGTATGACATGATGCTGTGGAAATAACCAAAATAAACTAACCGCGCTGTATCTATATCTGTTAAATTTCTAATTTTTTTAACGGCATATGCTGCAGAACTGAGCTTCTTCGACAAGCCATCTATATGTGGGCCCCACTGGAGCTTAGCGTCCAGGGTTATACCTAAAAAGACAGTTGTATCTACAGGACTCAACTCCTTATATATTCCTCATATATTGAAAAATCAGCCCTTAAAGTAGCAAGTGCTTTTTATAAATAATTTGAATACTATCATAAGTGATTTCAAATAAATTAGCGCCTGTAAGAATTTTTTGAGCAAAGTTTAGCGATTAAGATGTTTGATCGTAAAAATTAATAGGCGTTTATTTAATTTGCATAGGTT